TTTTGTATATTAATTAAAACTATTTTTTTTTAATATATTCATAAAAAAAAAAAAAAATATAAAAAATATTTAAAAGAATTTTTTATAAAAAAAATAATTCATTCTCTTATAAAATAAATATATATATATTAAAAAAAAAACAAATAAAGTAAAGAATTTATTTATTAAAAAAAAAAAGAAATTAATTTCTAATTTTATCTAATTTATAATTTTTTTATAAAACAGAAATGGAAACTGAAAAATCACATACCGAAGTTAAGGTCGCTCAAGATTTAGAGAAATTAAAAGTCGATGATAAACATAAGGATGAGAAGAAGGATAAAAAAGATAAAAAAGATAAAAAAGATAAGAAAGACAAGAAGGAAAAAACTCCAGAAGAAATTGAAGCCAAACGTTTAAAGAAAGAAGCCAAAAACAAAGATAAGACACCAGAGGAATTAGAAGCCAAACGTTTAAAGAAAGAGGCCAAAAATAAAGATAAAACACCAGAAGAAATTGAAGCCAAACGTTTAAAGAAAGAAGCCAAAGAAAAATCAAAATTAGAAGGTAAAAAACATGATAAAGATGGCAAGGAAGATAAAAAGGATAAAAAGGATAAAAAAGATAAAAAGGATAAAGACCATGAAAAGAAAGATAAAAAAGAATAAATAATCCTTTCTAAATTTTTTTTATTTTAAATAAAATAAAATAAAATAAAAAAATTTGAAAATCTTTATTTATTAAAAGTACAATGGCTAAAAAAAAATTCTTTTTTTACTTTCTTTTTTTTTTTTTCATATTAATATATATACAGCACCTAAGTATATTTTTGGTAAAAGAAAACCATCACAAATGTAACCAAAAGTATATGTTGAATTTGGTTGAATTTGGGCATACCACGGTAATTGATATACTGATTTATTTTTACTCATACCCCAAATATCATTCAATTTCACAGTGTCCTCAATTGCAATGATTAAATTTTGAACAGGATGAATATTTTGGTTTATTATATCAACTGAAACTTGCATTTTTGCATCCATATCATTATTGTTATGCCATTTATTTGTAATTGTTGATTGAAATACAATTTTACGAGTACTCTCATCAATACATTTACTTAAACCTGATTCTGAATCTTCAATACATCGATGTCCTTGTAAACAAGAATTCCTTATACATGAAAATGGAACTTTATATTCATTACAATATATTTCTGTTATAAATGAACATATTATTAATAAATTTATTAAAAGTTTTAATGATTTTATCATTTTTATTTATATTTTTTTTTTTTTGTAAAATTATTTTATTATTGATTTAATAAAAATGATTGATTGCAAAAAAAAAAAAATAAAAAAAAAAAAAAAGGTTAAATACTTTGTTTTACCTTTTTATAAAAAAAAAATAACAATAAAAATAAAAATAAAAATTTAAAAATAATAAAAAAATTTAAATAATTACAATTTACAATAAAAATTGAATAATATTACTAAAGATAAATATATTTAGTATTAGTTTTTTTGATTCAATCAATAACACCCCAAAAAAAAGAAAAAAAAAAAAAGTGATTATTAATTTTTTTTTGAATTCAAATCTATAGATTTTATGTGTGTTTAGATATTTTATCTTAAAAATAATAAAATAAAAAAAATTTATTTAACCATTCATCTATATTTATATATTATAATATATCTTTATAAAAATTTTAATCTGTAAATGAATTGTTATGATATTCATTTTTTTTTTTTAAAAAAAATTTTTTATATCTATTTTCTTTTTTTAAAAAACAAATAAAAAAATGGATAAATAAAGAAATTGTAAAAAAAAAAAGAAAAAAAAAGAAAAAAAAAAAAAAGATAGAGAAAAAAAAAAATTATTGAATTATAATATTTAATTAAAAGATTTTTCTTGCAATAAAACCTTTAAAACACCACCAACTAAATATAAAGAGCCAGTGACTAAAACCTTAACATTTTTAGTCCCATTTTCAGAGAGTTCCTTTGCTAATTCAATTGAAGATTCAATACTATCGGCTGGAATACATTGATGAGTTTTATTTGATAATTTATCATAACATTCGACTACAAAATCTTCCCATGTTGACGATTCTGTTATTGTTGTTGAAGCAGCATTATCAGGGGTTGTCGTTGAGGGTGTTGCTTGAGTTAATTCTTTAATATAATATTTTTTATCGATTGGTTTTTCAATGATAATATTTGGAATTATAGCTTTATCAAAAATTGGAATTTCTTTATCATTGATTGATTGAATGATTGGTTTTAAGAAACTACTTGGATTTCTACCACCTGTACTATTGAATAATAAAATATAAACGGTATCATTGTTATTATTATAATTCTTTACGATTGATTTCCACCAATTTAACATAACAATCGAACTTTCAACGGTATGAGCGCCATCTAAATAGAAATCCATATTTGGAAAATGTGTTGGATTTGTAAAATGTTGGGCACGACCAGCCCATTCACAATTTTTCAAACCCAATTCAATCGATTTCAATAGTGGTGTAAATTGAGAGACATTGTAATTATTTGTTTCATATCTATATCGACTATGATTATCAGTAGCAATGAAAATCTCGTTTGAGTCTTTAAAATTTTGTTTTTTAAACCAACAATTTGCTAAAGCTATTGCCAATGATGCATTCTCTAATTGATGCTCACCTTTTAATCCAATCGATTCAATTTTACCATTACCACCAATGGTATATTGATCAATAGATGGCACTATAGCCAATGGTGATTTAACTTGATTTGAATGATTAACTAAAACATTCATTGCTTCTGGTAATTGTGAAGCAACAGTGAATACTGGAATACCAGCTTTCATGATACCAGCTTTTTCTAAGGCGATTTCGGCCAAAGTATTACCTAAAAGATTTTGATGATCATAACCTAACGCAGAGATACCAGTTACCATTGGTTTTGGGAAAATGTTTGTTGAGTCCATTCTACCACCAATACCAACCTCTAAGATTGTACATTGAATATTTTCATCTTGAAAGATTTTCAATGCCATTAAAGTTAGGTATCTAAAGTAGTTTGGTAATTGTGTTTGAAAATCTTTAACCAATAAATCCCAACATTGCCAAAAATATTTAGAAAACATCTCTTTACTAATCATTTCACCATTGATACGAATACGTTCTCTAACACTAATCAAATGTGGTGATGTGAATAAACCTGTACTAAACCCTTGTTCCCTAATAATCGATTCAGTGATTGCACATGTACTACCTTTACCTTTGGTACCTGCAACATGAATAATAGACTCTCTATTCAAATCAATATCCAATGTTTTACAATAATCTCTCATCTCTTCCATTAGCATTTTGGTACATTCCTCTTTGTTATCTCTTCTCTCTTTAGTCCATGTTACTATCACCGATTGATTCGATTGAAGTGATAATAACGCATTTACAGATTCTTCATATGATCTATCTTTTGCTGAATATAACATATTTGATTTAGGTTTATTATCGATTTTATTACTGTTTATTTTTGTAGTGGTAAAATTAAGTTTTTTAAAATTATTATTATTAATACTATTATTGTGAATAATTTGGTTTGATAGTATTAATGAATTATTAACAATTTTTGTAGGCGGTATATTTTTAAAATATTTAGGTATATTATTTAATATTTGTCGTTTTAATAATACTCTATTCATTCAACCTATAACTTTTTTTTTTTTTTTTTTTTTTTTTAGTTTTGGTTTTTTTTTTAAATAAAAAAAATGAGTCATTAAGTAAAAACTGTTTTTTTAATTTTTTTTAATTTTTTTTAATTTTTTTTTTTTTTCAAATAATCTTTAAATCGTTATCTTTCCATTTGGGTTTTTTTTTTTTTTTATCTTCTTAGATTCTTCTTTAAAAAAAAAAAAAAAAAAAAAAAAAAATTAAAATAATAATACCAATATTTTATATGCGAAATATATAAATAAATATAATTCTACAAATAATAATATAAACATCTCAAAGAATTTTTAATTTCATTGTTGTATATTAAAAAAAAACGATAAAAAAAAAAAAAAAAAATTAAAATATCTAAAAAAAAAAAAAAAAAAATTTTTTGTTCCCATAAGACAATTAAGCGGCTATTTACTTTTAAAAAAAATCAATATTAGCTGACAGACTTTTTAGATTTAAATTTGCGAGGTAAGCAAGGTTGTTGGTTTACTGACAATCTTGTGTTGGATATTTGGTTTTGGTTGGGTATTCTATTTTATTTCGCTAGATCAAAATTCACTAAAAACCCTCAGTTGGACTTCACATGATACCTGAGTTCCGTTAGGTGAAGATATTTACAAACATTTAAATTTTTTTAAAAAAAAAAGCAACAAAAAAAATTAAACCAACAACTAAAATTTTTTTTTTTTTTTAATATTCAATCTCAAGTTGCACAAATTTCTTTAAACTGTGTATTTGTATTTTCAAATAAAACAGTTAGAATAAAAAGGTTACAATACTACATAAAATCTGGATATGGATTTGCAAAATAATTTCAACCCTCAACTAATTTCATAGTTCATTTGTTGAGATTTGATAATTGCTTTTTCTTGTATGGAGTTTAAAGGGTCAAAGGTTATTTTGCAGATCCATGTCTTTTTTTTTTTTAATATTAATGATTATTGTATGACCTTAGTCTCAACAATAATAAAGTTTATTTATTTATTAGGTTTTTTTTTTATATGTCTTTTAAGTGATTGTTATTTTCTCCTATGAAATTTTATTTTATATGAAAAAGTCAACGAAGAGGGTCTATCCGAGTATTTCGCTAGAATTCTGAGGAGAGGTTCAATCTCGGCAGATCCATGTCCAGATGTTGTGTAGTATTATGGATATGTAGTTAAGTGGTATAATGTTCTAACTGGTACAATAACCTCAACTGATAATACTATCAACCGACAAAACTCCTCAGAATTCTAAAGTACTTCAAACGACGCCGAGGATCGATCCCGCGTCTTCCATAGGAGAGGCCTTTTAAAAGATTTTCAAGGGGGAAATCCGAGAATCGAACTCAGGACGCTATCACCCTAAGATAACATTATACCACTTAACTAATTTCCCTAATCTATCTATTTTTGAAGAGAATTTTGGCGAACTCAATTTTTAAAATTTTTTATTTTTATAGAAAAAAAAATAAAAAAAGTTGGGAATGTTTTTTAGAATTTATATTTTTCATTTTAAATTATTAATTATAATATTAATAGTAATCATTTTTATTATTTATTATTTTCTATTATAATGGCCCATTAGTTATTAAAATTATAATTTAGATTTATTTTTTTCAGAGTCAACGATTTTAATGACTTGATTATTATCACAATGAATTTGAAGGTCTTCAAAACGCCAATCATAAAAGTTTGCACTGTTTTTATCTAAACGAGCATAGATTACAGCTTCTTGAGCGCCACCATCATAACCTTTGAATAGATCATCCTCTGGTAAAACGATTGGTGCAACTGGTGGTTGACCATCTTTTGGAGCTGGTGGTGGAGGTGCAATGAAACGAGTGATTGGAATTCTAAGTACTGTCCAACTTTTGTATCCACCTTCTTCATTTTGAACCCAACCAAATATTGGATTTACAAAACATTTATACCATTTAATACCTGTGATATGTCCACCGAATGCTCTCAATACATCGATATCACTATCCACCAATTTCATCGTCATTTTATATGGTAAAGTATTTCTAAGATATGATTCATAGAATAAAAAGAAAATACTACCTGTTATGCTACCAATAATTGTTCCCCATTTTAATTTTGATATAATTTTTTCTTTTAATGTTTTTGGTTTTTCTGGTTCTGGTTCTGGTTTTTTTTCTTCATTATTTTCAGTTTTTGCTTTTTCTTCTTCAGTTTTTACCTTTTCTTCTTCAGTTTTTACTTTTTCTTCTTCAGTTTTTACTTTTTCTTCTTCAGTTTTAGGTTGTTGTTCTTCAGTTTTTGGTTGTTGTTCTTCAGTTTTAGGTTGTTGTTCTTCAGTTTTAGGTTGTTGTTCTTCAGTTTTAGGTGGTTGTTCTTCAATTTTTTGTGATTGATGTTGTTGTTCGGTTTCTTGTTGTTTTTGTTCGTTTATTGGTTCATTTTTATTTGATGTTGGTGATTGAGAAGAAAATGTGAATTTATTATTTGTAAAATAGTTTCTTGTTGATATATTATATAAATTGGATTGATTGTTTTTAGGTTGAAATGGTACAGTGGTTATGTAGGCTGAAAATTTAATATTTTTATTACCATTATTATTTATGATGGCATTATTAAAAATTTTAATTAAATTTTTTGAACGATTCATTATTATTATTTTTGAACTCAATGAAAAAACACGTTTTAAAAAAAAAAAAAAAAAAAAAAAAAAAATGCAAAAAATAAAAAAAAATGTGAAATTTGAAAAATAAATATAAAAAAAAAAAAAAAAAAAAAAAAAAAATTTATCCTTTTTTTATTTTGTTTTCTTATAAATATAAAAAAAAAAATTTATCCTTTTTTTATATTTGATATCATTGGAAATTGAATATAAAAAATTTTTTTTAAAAGTTTTCACTCATTAAACAATTTTTTGTGTGTGACTGAATTGTACTGATTTGTAAACCAAAAAAAAAAATTCAAAGAAAAAAAATATCTTTTTTTTTTAAAAATTTTTTTTTAATTTTTAATTTTTATAATTTTTTTTTTTTTTTATCATTCTTAACCTTATCTCTTATTTTTTTAATTTTTAATTTTTTCCATTTTTTTTTTTTTTTATTTTTTTTTTTCTACAAATTTTTATTATTATTTCAATTTCTTTTTATTTATTTTAAATTCTTTTCAAAAAAAAAAAAAAAAAGAATGAGTTGGAAAAAAACCAGTACTAATAATGAACAACCATTGTTACCACCAATACCAACATTATTTAAAGATGTAACATTTTATATATTAGGATTATCATTTAGTGATACAACATCATTAAAATCAACGATTAAAAGTTATGGTGGTGATGTTGCATTTCAATTAAATAAGAATGTTAAATTCTTATTAACCACTAAAGAACAAGTTGAAAAGAATTGTACAAAAATACAAACAGCAATCAAATCAGCAACAATCGATATCTTATCAAAAGATTTCATTCAACATTGTATAGTAAAAAGATACTATTCAATAGATTTCATTCAAGAATTTAAATTAATTAATAAAGAGCTGATAATTAATGAAAAACAACAACAACAAAATGATAATAAATCATCATTTGGATCATTAGAGTCATTAGAGTCAATATTATCAAAATTAAAATTAGAAATTAAACAACAACAACAATCATCATCATCATCACAACAACAACAACAACAACAACAACAACAACAACAACAACAATCTAAACAACAACAATATAATCAATTGGAATTAATAAAGAATGAAAAGAAATCAATTAAATTATTTATATCATCAACATTTTTAGATATGGAAATAGAGAGAGAAGCAATTGTAAAATATTTAATACCAGAGATTAGAGATTATTGTAATGAAAGAAATATTGATTTTAGTTTTGTTGATATGAGATGGGGTTTAACAGAGAGTAAAGATATTTTAAAGAAATCAACCATTGCCACTTGTCTACAAGAGGTATCATCTTGTAATTATTTCATATCTTTATTGGGTGACAGATATGGTTGGTCATCTGGTGATGAATACATTGAATCATTTAATTTAGCAAAGATCTACTATCCATGGATTGATTCTCATATTGGTAAATCAATTACAGAGTTAGAAATTTTACAAGCAACAACTATAACACCAAAATTTAATTTGTTTTATTTTAAAAATCAATCATCACCATCACCATCATCACCACTAACAACAACAACAACAACAATTGAAGAGTTAATTGAATCAGAGGAATCATTAAATAAATTAAAAGAATTAAAAAATCAAATTTTAAATGAAAAACAACAAAATAAAATTTCAAACTTTTTAAATACTGAAAATTTAATTACAACAATATATAGAGATTTAATTGAAAGAATTAATAGAGAGTTATTAATATCAAATAATGGAGTTGTTTCAAACAATATTGATAATTTTCAAAAAGTTAAAGATGATCAAAATTTAGAGGTTAATAAAAATTCATCATATCTTAAATCATTATTGAAACAAGAGTTTATAAAGAATTACTCATTCGATAAATTGAATCAATTTATATTTGACGATGGTATAAATATTGAGAATTCAATTCAATCTAAACCAAAACCATTTTTAGTTGCATCGGCAATAGGTGGTGGTAAATCAACGATATTGGCTAATTGGGTGAAACAATTATCAGTTAGTAATCTAGTTGATCCTAAAAAAACATTGGTAGTTTGTTTTTTCATTGGTATAACTGCAAATAATAAGAATAGAATAGAGTTACTTCGTCAACTATTTTCAATCATTAAATTACAATATCAAGTTTCAATACCATTAAGTGAGGATCCATCATCATTAAAAGAGGAGATAAACTATTGGTATGGTATAGCAACAAAAGATGGTAGAAATTTAATTATTATCTACGATTCAATAGATACGATTGAAAAAGGTACAGATGAAACATTGTCAGAGGCATTATTAGATTTAATACCATCACGTTATCCAGAGAATGTAAAGATAGTGGTATCATGTTATACCGATAACTATGATGAATTGGTTAACCATTTTCAATTGGATAAGGATAAAGATACATCAATTTTAACTGGTTTCACAGAACAACAACAAATATTAGACTTTTCAAAATCTTATTTATCAATGTTTAAAAAGGAGTTAACACCTGTACAAATTGAAATTCTAAAGAAATTCTTAGAGCCATGTTCATCTCCATTATTTTTATCAAGTGTATTGGGCGAATTAATTACAATTGGTAATTATAAAACATTGAATGAGAAATTAATTATGTTATTATCAAGTCAATCTATTTTCAATTTCTATTTAGTTCAATTATCAAGATGGGAGTCTGATACATCATTCCCAAAGAATTTGGTTACCGATATAGTTCAATTAATTTATTTATCCTCTAATGGTTTATATGAACATGAAATTCTATCTACATTAAAATTAAAATCAAGTTATGGTTTCTTCTCACAATGTCGTAATCTTTTCACAGTATTAGGTGGTGGTTCAAATTATTTCACAATTTTATCACCATATTTAAAATTAGCAATTGGTTTAAAATATTTTGGTAATAAAAAAGATGGTCAATTATTACCAATAGAATCAAGATTATTATCAAATCTTTCCGAATATTTTGAAAATTCTTCGACAACATCAATAATTATTAAAAATAGTTTAAAAAGAAAAATTGATTATTTACCTAAAATTTTAATATCAATGAATGATAAATCAAAAGTCCAAGAGTTTTTATTAAATCTTGAAAATATTAATCAGTTATCTAAATCAGAGATTGGTAAATCACAAATCCATCAATATTGGAATTTCATTGGTATTAATGGTGAAAACTTTAAGGAGATTATTAATCTCTATAAATTTAAATGGGCACAGTATTGTAATGGTACACCGCCATTGGAAGAGTTGTCAACTACAACCTATAACATTGGTTGTTTATTTGAACATTTATCAATGTATGATGAAGCCTATTCATTCATTGAAAAATCTCAAGATTATCATATTCAACTCTATGGTGATAGCCATCCAAGTGTTGCAAATGATTTAAAACGTTTAGTTTCAATTAATATTAAACGTTCGAAATTGGAGCAAGCAAGTTATCAATCTGAAAAACTTTTAACAATTACTGAACAATTATTTGGAAAAGAACACTTGGGAACCGTCGAGTCTTTGTTATTAAATGGTTTAACATTTAAGAAACAAACTCAATATTCAAAATCTTTAGAATATTATAAATCTTGTTTAAAAATTCTCTATAGATTCCTTGGTTATAATCAATCAAATTTATTCATTGAAGAGAGAAACAATGGAAACAATAACTATGGCAATGTAGAAAATGATGATTTAAATTCACCAATTTATTTCAATATTAGATTGGGTGAAATATTTCAATCGATCGCTGATATCTATAGAAAATTAGGTAAATTTGATTTT